AGATAGAAATAGTAATGAACATGTCCTGAGAAATAAAAAAAAAATGACTCATGAAAACTGTTTGCCCACATCAGAGGAAGAAGGTCTACAGTCTTTGGTCATATCATGAGAACTGTTTGTCCACATCAGAGGAAGAAGGTCTACAGTCTTTAGTCATATCATGAGAACTGTTTGCCCACATCAGAGGAAGAAGGTCTACAGTCTTTGGTCATATCATGAGAACTGTTTGTCCACATCAGAGGAAGAAGGTCTACAGTCTCTAGTCATATCATGAGAACTGTTTGCCCACATCAGAGGAAGAAGGTCTACAGTCTTTGGTCATATGAGAACTGTTTGTCCACATCAGAGGAAGAAGGTCTACAGTCTTTAGTCTTATCATGAGAACTGTTTGCCCACATCAGAGGAAGAAGGTCTACAGTCTTTGGTCATATCATGAGAACTGTTTGTCCACATCAGAGGAAGAAGGTCTACAGTCTTTGGTCATATCATGAGAACTGTTTGTCCACATCAGAGGAAGAAGGTCTACAGTCTTTGGTCATATCATGAGAACAGTTTGTCCACATCAGAGGAAGAAGGCCTACAGTCTTTAGTCATATCATGAGAACTGTTTGTCCACATCAGAAGAAGAAGGTCTTATTCTTTAGTCATATCATGAGAACTGTTTGTCCACATCAGAGGAAGAAGGTCTACAGTCTTTAGTCATATCATGAGAAGGAGTCAACTGTACATCGTGATGGTGGGAAAGTTGGAGGGGAAAAAAGGCAGAAAGAGACACAGAGAGAAAATGCTGGAGAGACTGACAGCACGGCTTGACAATCATCTGTGTCAGAACTGACTGAAAATACACAAGACAGAGGGTTGTAGATGTGACATAACTACCAACACCACACGACATGGACTATATAGGAAGAAAATAAAATGGTCTATGACTAATACTGGTACATTACCGAAGGAAAGAAATATTCTGAGCAATTGTTTTCCTAAGGACACAAGTCATGTTGTAATAAAATGTTTAATCAATTTGTTTTCTGGCACTGCTCTTATTTTAATGCAGCAAATACAATTACACTCATATAACATTACCATCATGTTCTAGGTCTTTTGCAGATTGTTGCTATCATCAGGAACTTGGTCTCTTGTCAGCTCCTCTCCCACCTTGTGTACTTTCATATTCGAGGATCACTTATATCTTATCACTTAGTCTGCATACAAATCAGTCAGATCTGTAAAATAGATGCACAACACTCTGGTTATATATATAACCGGACTGCAGTCTAGAAGTGGACAAACAACCAGAGCTTTCCATCAGAGTTTACAGCTGGTAAACACGAAGAAGAAGAAGACTTAAATCTTGTGCACATTTTCATGTTGGTCGGCCCCTTGCCTCTCCTTCCTGGCACCATTCCTTCTGTTGTTTTATTTCCAATCTGCCATAGCGTTAGATAAGACCAAAATGTTTCAGCTTCCAAGACGAGATGTTTGTTAGCCAATCTTTCTTGATTTTCAGATCTTATAAAATGTCAATATTTCTTCTCTTCTTTATCTAAGGTATTCTGAGAATCTTTCTATAGCACTATAGCAGCTCAAAAGCCCCTATATTTTTTCTTAAGGACTGGGAGATAGTCTACAACTCACATCCGTATGTTGCTACAGGGAAGATGCATGCTCTCAATTTGTATTTTTATTTCCTTGCTTTGCTGATGCTTAACCATAGACATATATATTTCTCATATGATGATTGATATTGTAGCACACAAGAATTTGGGTAAATGTTATGCTGGTTTCCCCATTCACACACAGCTACACACTAGCTCGCTTCTGATTGGACGAACTACTGACCGCCTCACTTCAGATAGGTCGGTCTCGAGCGATCCGACTTTCACATATTAAACCAAGTAGATCTAGTCAGCTAGACACCACAATCCAAAAAACAAGCCAGCGTTTTGGCTAGAAATCCTTCATTAGAACATTACATCAATAGACAATGGCACATTTTCAAAAGCGGATTCATAAAATCACTCAACTGAGGACTCTCCAGAGCAAAATCACCATGCCAGTCTGGCCAGTTGAACCACTGAGATGTGTGAATACAGGAGATAAATACTAGCCAGAAAAAAAATGTTAAAGATAATGGGCTTTAACTGAATATATTAGGTGAAGCTGTGCTGAATGTTAAATCCCTCTAGATTTTAGCCTAATAAAGAGAAAGGAACAATGCTAACAATAGAGACGCAATCTGGCCTGTTCCAACCACAATAAAGACAAAACTGTATGGTACACGAGAGGATATGGATTGCACGATAGCTTTCATAAAGGCAACCGGCTTCCTGATATAAGTTTTCTGACAGATGGATCAAAGAAGAAGAATAATTTAAATTGGGAAATTATATTTATGATGCAATGCTATGCAAAAGTCATACAACATTTGAAATGAATGAAAAGATGACAAATAATCCACTCGTCACACTTTAATTTTTTTTTTTTTAAAAGCTCAACATGAAACAGTATTTAAGTGTCTTTTTCTCCTGCGTGGTTCTGACGCTGTACAAGCACAGTCATTTAGTCACTTGGACACACACTCAGCTTTCTTTTGCTAATGAGCTTCTTCGTCTTCCTCGCTGCTCCCTCCATCAGTGTCCACCCCTGAATCATCCTCCAGTCCGGGTTCCAGTGGGGGTTGGACAACAACAGCAAAGTGAACTCGACGGAGACGGTGTACTTCTTCTTGTCCTCTTTCATCTGTCATCACTATCATCATGTCGTAGCCTACGCTACGTCTCCTTAAGTATATGGTTATGGAGAACATTGACTCCTTTTTGATGGTACAAAACAGTTGTATTTATACCTTCAACTAATACAAGAGCAAACAAAATCACGACTGTTACTACTACTCTACAGGTATACATAAACTATGCATTTAATGTTAAGTCTTTTGCCCACTACTCTGACCTGCCCTCTCCTCCTTATGGGGTCCGGGCAGCCGCTTATATAGGTGCCATTAGCCTGCTTCTAGAACTTTCCAGCAGTGTGTTTTGCAAACTACTACTGCGTTTCTAAAATATAGGTTTAGGGTAATAATTCCAAAAATGTTGAAAACAATTTATTTTTGAGTACTTTAAGGGAGGGTCACATGATGTCTAGCCAAACTGTTGGTAGTCTCTAGACGGTCAGGCCAAGGACACCATGTAGTTTTGGGCCGGTCACTAAGCTTAGTGCAAATGTTCGACAATAAGGGTGAAGGACATGATAGGGCCTGTTGTTTATGTCCCTCAACACCGAAATGCAATTTGGGTAAGGATTCTGTTACAAAAAGCATATTAAATACTTTTTAAACGCGGACACAAATAATACATTGCAGAATCTACTTCCTGGTATATGCATCTCATCAGATGTGTACTAGTTAAGTCAAGATATAATTAAACACAAACGTGAATCCCATGCTCAGAATTACACAATCTCTGCTTGAAATTATAGATAAGCCACATGACTGCCATGTTTGCTGTCTACACAGAGCCGAGGTGTATATCTTGAAAACACAGTAGCACATTGAATCCCTTCAAAACAAATTTACAATAATGTCCTCAGAGAGAAGCACAAAATTGTTACAGTATGTAAACAAAAATGAGAAAGAGACAAAACACTGTTCTTTCGCCACATAATGAGAAGAGAGACACTGGAGAACATCGTGACAACTGGAAAGATCAGAGGGAAAAGGGGGGTAGAGGCAGACCAAGAGAGATGATGCTGGATGGGCTGAAACAATGGCATGGAGGGATATCATCAAGACAGCGGTTCTGTGGAGATACATGAGCACCTACACCAGTTGGCAGGGCACACGATGATGATGATGTGAACAAAGCAGAAGTGTGCTCAACACTGGCAACCCCACCATATGAACTTTTTCAGCAGCAAAACTGATGAGCTATGTCAGAGGTGTGCTGGCTATACATGCGGTCAAAATGCTGCCACATTTACTTTCAAGTACATCCAATTGAGGCTGGGTTTACTTGTGATCTTGAGACAATCTCAGAGATGTTCTGTGAATCAACAACAACAACAAAACTACATTTAATTCTGAGGTGAAAGATGAATCAAGATTCCTAGGAAAATTCAACAACAAAAATACGTCATAATTCTGAACCACTTGCAGCTTCAAAATAACTTTCAAATAAGTTTAACAAATCAAAAGGTTAACCCGTTTTAGACTGAGTTTTTCTTCACCTAGCTGTTTTCTGATCAAATTTCTCACTTGTCACTAATTTATAAGCTTATTTCCTAACATAACATGCCAAAATATTCTTGTCGTGACCATACATCAGTAATCAATTGCAAATTTATCTACAGCATTGCATAAGTGGAAGGAAGTGAAACTAACCAGAGACAACCGGTGAAATGATTGCAAGAGATCAAGGTAGAAAGAAAGTCAACAGTTTCAATTACAAGCCGTTGTTACTTAAACTCCTCCTACTCTAAAGTGTTTAGCTCAAAACAACAAATAATCTGGCTCTAAGGATTTTAACATTATCCCTGTGTCAGTTTCGGAAGGAAGGAAAGAAAATACACTACCCTCTCCTCCCCCCCCCCCCCCCCCCCCCAGCATTTTGTAAGAGCAGACTAATTAGGGTTTTGCTGAAATTGAATGTATTGGGTCAAAAGGTGCAAATTTTGCAGCCTAGCTGTAAACTACAACACAACACACCAACAACCCTGTCAAAGGTGAACACTAAATAAGAAGAAGAATGTGACACAAGACATTAAACTAGTAATCAAGACAATGAAAAATGATATCACATTCTTTTGTGACAAGAATACAGCTGGTATATTATACCATTTTTCAACTAATTAAAAAAAGTATGGTAAGTTGCTTGGGACCAAAAGAGTTATCAGTCCACTGCGAATCTTCTCTCTCTCCTAAAAATATCAATGTTGGATGCTGGAACTTACATAAGAAAAATACTAAACTAGAATAGAAAAAAATGAAGCAAAGCTGAAATACTCACCAGGACATCGTCCACATTTAAACTGAAATCTCTTGGCATGTCTCCTGCAATTGCATTTCTGCAACAGCTTGTCCTGCTTCACCGGGTCTTTGGCAGAATTATGCTTCCGTTTTTTCACGTTCTCCAGTTGTCTTTGCTTGAAAAAATAAAGGTTTCTGCACGCACCTTGCTCGCCTCGCCTGCTTATATTCACCTGTTGGGAAGTTAGTCGTGATAATTAGCAACGGACAAGGAAAAGCCAATAATGAAAACTGCAGCAAATGACAAGATACGAGAACAAGTAAATTGTTTCTATTGTTCTGTACATATAACATCCTTGTGTGGGCTCCAAGGCCCCATTGTGGGGGGGGGGGGGGGGGACAGGGGGACTAATAAACCCACTGCTTCCCCAACAAGAATGTCGTAGGAGTCGACTAACCAGGGGGCATTCTTTGAAGTCGCACATGTGCCTAACAAGCATGGAACCATAAGTCTGCCTACAAATAAGCCAGATGTGTGAAACGGGTGTCCATGCAACACTCGGGTTCTGAAACAAGACTAAGTCTGGAGCTGACGAACACACAGAACTTTCCCCCTGGAGTTTACAGCCAGTGACCGCAAAGAAGAAGAAAACATAATTAGGAATACAGACTGGAAATGAAAATGAAAAGGCTAGGAATAGCCAAAAGTATTTTCCACTTAAACACAACATCCAGAGCAATTAAAATATTGTCGTAATGTTCTCCTTTTAATAAATCTCCGTAGAATAATACCATTTTAACCTTCATTACCTTGCTGGTGCTTAAACCACGGACTGTTGATGCTGTTTAATCTTGATAATACTACCAACAAATCAATTCAGAAAAATATTAACTTCATAATATACTCACATTTTAGTATCTTAACAGGTAGTTGGAACATGTTTCAGCTACAGTCTTGGCCACTGCACCATATTTGAATTTGATGACAGCATAAGCTTTTGGATATCCGGTCTGAAAAGTTAAGGAATCAAATATAAGAAACAGAACATAAACAAACTTGAATATGCAATAATTATTTTGTTCAGATTGGGGAAAAGTACCAAAAGAAACAGAACATAAATAGACTGAAATATTCATAACATCTGTTGTTCGAATTAGAGACACTACCAAACTACTCTGGTAATATAACTGGAACAAATGTCAGTCGCCTTATTTAACATATTCATCTATGCCAGGAAAAGTCAAACTGTTTATTAATAATAATATATACAAAACATACCAAATAAGACATAACATTTACAATAAATAGAGTATCTTTCTCACAATATTTGATCTTCAGCCATATATGACCAACAGACATTCAATTTCTTTTAGCCATGCAATTATTTTCATTTGTCAGTGAGTGTTGTTTTAAGATTTGTAAGCTGGTGCTTGCATACAAGTTTGGTCATTAGTGATGCAAACACCAGCTCTTAGAAAAAAAAATCTTAGAAAAAAAACTCACTGACAATGGAAAATTGGATTAAAAAATTAATTCATGCAGTCAAGCAAACCAAATACAGGAACAACGAGAAATTTTCTTACAGCATAAGACAGTCTCAGTTGCGCAAAAGAAACTTCTTATACAAAATATATTCATTCCCACCCTTTGCTACCAGTGACAGACATGGTCATTCACAATAAAACATAATGACAATTATTATTCATGGAAATATGATCCTTCGAAAGGCTGCAAGGGTGACCAGAAGAGATGTAATTAGGAGTCATAAGAGAAAAAGTCGCACAGAACAAATTTTCAACTACACAAAAAGATAGCAAATAAAATGACTTGCCAGATTAGAGAGAAAGCTGTGCAACACCATACCATAAAACAGGAGAGGGATAAGGATCGGCATAGCAAACAACGAGACACACACCAGAGAACTTGTTAACCGACACAGAACTGGTACTATTAGCCACCGGAAGCTGAGGTTCATACTGAGGGAGGATCTGAGCACCTATGTACATGTCTGGAGTGCAATTACCCCACTAAGGAGAGGGACAGAAAGCAAGAGGTAGACCAAGTACAAGTGGAAAGATAGCACTGTCTGTGGTCAAGGCGACAGAAGAGCAACAACAACAAAACAAATCTCCCTTGATACCCAAGATGACACAAGAGGATACAAAGAAGAAGAAGAAGCTATACTAAATTGTCTTAATTTGACCATCCATCAGTCATTAACAGCTGACCATAACTCATTTACATCTGACAATCACTTATTCTGACCATCATACACTCCTTTACCTTTTCCGAGCAAGATAACTTCACTGCCAAGATAGTACCAAACTGAGAGAAGAACTGGCAAATCTGGTGCTGGCAGAAACCATGCGGGATGTGGCCTAGGTACATAAAACCTGGCTATCTGTCTTCGTGTGTCACCTGAGGGTAATGTAAATAATTAACATGTTTAAAAAAAAAAGGATTTTAAATATCCTCACTTTATTTTGGTTTCCAGCAGACAGATGGACACGGCTATACGATATCACATTCTGGCCCACTAAAGCATCATAAAAAGAATTTATACACGGCAGTGTGACACAGCCGTATCTCTCACATCCCCCAAGAATGGATGTGCCTAATTCGGAACTTAAAATAATATAGATACTGGCTATAAGTTGATTAATTGTGTTTAACAACACGACCAGTGATGAAACAGTATAAGGTTATAATGTTTGTTTATTCATCAATATAATTTCAATCTTTGCAGAATGAATATATTCCATTTATGCAACAGTATAACATTCTAGTTCTTTCTTCTCTCTCTAGCAAAGCAAAACCAAAGTTTAATATCTATTTCTTCTAACTAAGCACAGCTCTAGTTTTCTATGTCTTCTCGCCAAGTTCTTGTCAATTGCCCTCTCTAGCATCTCGGCACTCACTGTCCCGTCTCTCTCTTCTCCCCTCTGCTCTTCACCCCCGCTTCCTCTCTCTCCCCAGCGTGGGTCCTCCATCCCCCCAGTCCCCCTTCATCCACTATGTTATCATCTTCAGTTGAACATGTGCATTCTGTGCTGCTCTCGAGCATTGGTCGACAATATTCTCTCTTGTGCATCTTTTGGGTCTGCCCGTACGTTTACATCCTGCACTGTCAGATGTCATGGTTTTATTTGGATAACCATACTCTATTCAACACTGGTCACAGTGCACCTGCTCCTACGAACTGTCCCAAAGATTACTGGTTTATCTGTGTGGCCTGCCTGGCCAATGTTCTAATCATTGTTTACTATCATGCCACCCAGTGATGGATTGGCATGCATTGATGCTGGTCTGAATGTATGCATTCTTCAGTTAACCCCTTCCTCACCCCTATTTCACTTCAGCAGCACCTCCGGTTAATTAGTCTTTCCTTTTGAGCTGGGCAGGTCATATAGTCCGCATGCCTGACCACCGACTGCCAACAAGAATTTTCTATGGTGAGCTACTAAAATGAAAATGCTCTCAAGGAGGACAGAAGAAAAGTTTCAAGGACAGCTTCAAGACCTCACTGAAAGACTTCCGTATTGGTCCTAAAATTTGGAAAGTCGCTGCATGTGACCGCCCATCCTGGTACTCCTCTCTTCATCAGGGAGCTGTGGCTCATAAAGCTGGTAAAACTGCAGCAGCAATTCAGAAACGAAAAGTCAGGTAAGACACTGAAGCAAATCACCACAGATAAGGCTTCTATTCCTTGTCAACAGTGCTCAAGAACTTTCAGTGCTAGAATTGGCCTTATCGCCATCTGCACACTCACAAAACCTAACCCAGACACTACTGGATGAAACCACTAGTCATCATCACTTATGATGGAGGAAAAACAACAACTTTCCTCTTGAGCCTAGGGCGGCAAATAGGGCAGAGGTCATAGCTCTCCATGTCTGGCGGTTCGTTGCCACCTGTTTTAGGTCTTGGATATTCACTAGGAACATGCTTGAGCCTTCCCTGATGATGGTTCTGAGCAGAGTCTCTCTTGGTCTTTTCCGTTTTCTTTTCCCGTCCGGTGTCCATATAAGGGCTTGATAGGGGAGTCTTGTCTTATCCATTCTGAGTTCATGGCCGATGGTACCTTACTATACGTCCAAAATCTGTTTTAGATCCTTGGACTTTTACCCAACAGCATGTATATCAAATGAATTTTACCCATAAGAAGTCATGGGAGAATGAGTAATTCGTACCCATTAAAGAATATCCCATTGTTATTGGCATATTATAAGCACGGCGGTCACAAAGTAACGACTCCTATTTGTTTATATATGTAAATACGGTATCTGTGAGCAATGTGTAAAGTCAGTAAGATTGCTCAAACACTTTTCTGCACTGTATAGCATTACCAGCCTGTCTCAGCAACACCCACTGTAACAGGCTTCAACACAGCTTCCAAAGACATCTGGTTGAAACAACACAATGTAAAGAACTCCTCAGTGGTGTGAAGATGAGACCCCAATTTGCATCCATGAACATTTGAAGAATGTATACAATTATTAAACACTGCTTTAAAAGGACTGTCCACTTTCCAATAAAACTAAGAATCTCACATTATTGTGAATTTTTTTTTCTTTCTTTTAGCCCTTTTTCCTACTTGGACCTGACTGAAGTTCATCCAGCAAAGCAAGTCATATTCCAAATATATAAAACAAAATATTTTGTATCTTAACAATTTGACTAGAAAGCAGATGTAAAAAAAACATTCCACTTTATCTTGAATACCTAATTTGCAATAGTGAGTGCTGAAAATAACTGAGCATTACACAGAAACTAGACTTTTAAAGATATCTAAAGAGAATCCTGAGAATTTTTTAGCCGAACAAGATCCCAAATGAAGAACAAGAAGAGTAAATGTTTACCACTGGCAAACATTATCAAAGGAAGAAGATGGAGATGGTTTGGACATTATGCAGAATTCTTATTAGTATTTCTACTAAATCAGTTCACCAGTAGCATACCTGCCTCCAAGATAGGTGACAATGTGTTGCCATTTGAAATCGATGCAACGGTTACACTCCCCTGAACTCCTGGGTCAACGCCACCAAAAAAAGACTACACAAAAATATTGTCCATATAACGCCAATTAGGTGTTTATGCAAGGAACCAACAGTCTGCACACAAAAAAAAGACAGATCTGTAAGCCAATTCATGGAACAATATCAAAGTCCGGGGCAGTATACAGCCAGTGAATAAGAAGAGGGAATTAAATGGTAGGACAGAATCACTACTTAG